GCGGCGTGGGGGGGCGGCGGGCCGCCGCCTGTGGGGGCCTGTGCGCGGCCTGTGTGCGGACCCCGGGGCGCGGGTCCCGGTGGAGCTGCCGGCCTGGCTTGGTGAGCCCAAGGTGACAGCCGGGCGCCGCCATGAGTGGCCCTTGCCGCGAATCCCTCCCGCCGTCCTGCTCCAGGGCCGAAGGGAAGCCTCCGGCAGTCGGTGACCGGGCTGTCGCCGGGCTTGCCCGGGGAGTGGTTTCATCGCCCTGTGTGTGCGGCTGGGCAGCGAGCCTGGGGAGCTGGGCTGCGGGAGGTGGGGGGCACACGGGCGCTGGTACACTCCAGGTTGGGTTCTCATACTTCTAACCCTCCGAGGGGCGAGAGCTGCTGTGATACGCTGCCGCCTTAGCATCCGGAATAGTTCCTTGGCTTTAAAATCATCTGAGCTGGCCCTCGTCAAGCAATTTTCCGCCTTTGCCTCATAGATTGAAAAATGTACCTCATTTGTTGGTGTGTTGGGGTTTTTTTCTCTTGATGATCTGAGGGCTGGAGCCCCTCTGCTGGGAGGACAGGCTGAGAGAGTTGGGGGGGTTCAGCCTGGAGAAGAGAAGGCTCCGGGGAGACCTTAGAGCCCCTTCCAGTCCCTCAAGGGGCTCCAGGAAAGCTGGGGAGAGACTCTGGGTCAGGGAGGGGAGCCATAGGAGGAGGGGGAAGGGTTTGACACTGAAAGAGGGGAGATTGAGATGAGATGTGGGGAAGAACTTCTTTGCTGTGAGGGTGGTGAGAGCCTGGCCCAGGTTGCCCCGAGAAGCTGTGGCTGCCCCATCCCTGGAGGGGTTCAAGGCCAGGTTGGAGGGGGCTTGGAGCAACGTGGGCTGGTGGGAGGTGTCCCTGCCCAGGACAGGGGGGGGACGGGATGGTCTTTAAGGTCCCTTCCCACCCAAACCGTTCTATGATTCTATCTCCTGGTGCTTCGTGAGACACACAGCCTTGTCTTTTCATTCAGCGCTTCAGAACTATATGGTGTTGAAACGCAACAAAACTCAGTGCGCGGGGGGAGCGAAACGGCAATCAGGGTTGAATAATTTCCTGGCTTTGGATAGTTTCTGGTGCCAATTGGAAATTTGTAATAATCGTTAACTTTTGGATGTTGGAGTCTGAACATGAAGTCTCCAGGTCTGCAGTAGCGCTGTGTTTGCAGTGATTTGAGGGTTTTATTGCCATGAGAATACAGCGTGGTTGCGATAACAATGATTTCAATTCTAAAAGGAGAATTGAAAGGTGGGGAAGTATTCTTTCTGCTTTTTCATTGCAGAATGTGTGAGTATTTTAGAATGAAACCTGCACAGGATCAAAAGCCTTGGTTCTGTTTAAAACCCCCCACCAAGACGTGCACACACAATAATTATACAGTAATTTGATGTAAATTCCTAATGGGAGCAGACTGTTCCTACCTTGATATCGCAGGTGGACACGGACTTCAAATGGGAGATGTAGTTCCTTCGATGAAGAGATAGTCTTTGCTTTGCCTCCTTCTGTGTTTCTATCAAGTTAGCACTCAAGACACGTTTTTTTAAACAGTGAAGACCGATGTGACTGAGTGCTAACGTTGCACTTGAATTTAGGTGGGGGTTTTTTTGGAATAGGCAATATTATGTCTGTACCCAACTTTTTTTTTATTTTTAATTATTTTATGAAGTTTAACTTGGACTGTTGGAAGCAGAAACGTAACAGTTCTGGTACAATCAAGGATTCCTGTGCAGTGAACATGCTGGTGGGAGTCCGTACTGCAGCAGCACAGCCAGAACCGTATCTAAGCCCTGTCTTAGCCACTTCTTATTTTTTATATTTAAGCATTGTTCATCGCCCTCTTATACATTTGAGTTTGCAGTGAGCTTGGGGCTCCACATGAGTTCGCAGTCCTAGGCCCATTTTTCCTGTTTGTACTCAAATTTCAAGCTTCAGAATGCTTAGCGGTATGGCATTTTGTGCAAAGGTGGATTAAACTTTCTTCGCAAGTCTTTATTAAATTCACTTTTAATCTGTTTGATCTTAACTTGCCTCTGCTTGAGCCTGAGGTAAATAAAGCTTTTGCAGTATTTTTCATGACTAACAATATGTGATCTTATACAGTAAGTTAGCATTCAGTTTAATGGTCCCGATTCATATAGTTTATGAGGTAATATTTCCTGAGGCTTTAATCAAGCTTTGGATTATGCATTACTTTTTTTTTTTCCCATCCTTAATTTTAATGAAGGGGGCACTGGAAGCGGTGTGTAAATGTTGCTATTTAAATGCATGTTGGCTTCATAACTGTGGATGTGTTGGCGAAGCTCCCTGTGACTGCCCTGCTGCACGCTATAAAATTAAAGTGATGCTTTTTGCTACGAACACAAACATTTTTGGATTAGGTAGTGTTTTATCTTCCACTCCCCCTTTCCCCACTCCCTCCCCCCCCACCCCAGAAAAAAAAAAAAAAGACATCATCTTTACAAAGCTAACTCATTCTAAGTTGCACTTATCCTTAGCTAAAATGATTGAATGCCAAATTGTACTATAACATTATCCATTCAATTCCTCTCTGATGCACTTTGTTCTATTTAGGATATTTTCTCTGTTCTGAAGTATCCTGGAACTATTTATCCAGAGAAAAAGATTAATTTGGCCTTTTATATGAAATGTAACTAACTTTTATTTTGGCAGCTTACTTCCCTCCCCCCCCACCCCAGAAAAAAAAAAAAAAGAAAAAAAAGGATTGAAAATAATAAATAAATAAAAATAGCAGGACTTGCAGGCTCCCACACAACTTTGTGTTGAGAACGGAGAAATTTTCTGTGGCTGTTTCCTACTGAGATTGTGCTGCTTGTTAGAAGTTACAGAGAATTATTTTCATTTCATATCACATTTCTAATCTAGAGCAGCTTTTTAACTAGGCTGTGAATTAGAATAATTTCTGCCGGTAGAGAGGAGGAATTCAGTGAGCTTTCCAAGTCACTTTTGCATGTTTGCTTTTTTGATTTAAAGGTATAGTCCCTGCCGCTTACTCTTGAGTTGCAGCGGGGCAAGAACCAGAAGGTTGGTTGGTTGGGTATTTTTCCATTTTTTAAAAGAGGTTTGGGAGGTTTCTTCTCTCACTTACCCCTTTACAGCCTAACTTCAAGTCTGGGATTGGTGAGACACTCTATCCTCAGGCAAAAGCTTAAGGCTTGAGAAGGGAAGGTGTTGAGAATACTGATCTCTGCCAAAACAAATGGATGAGAGGATCTGCTGTATTCAGGCGAGGGCAGTTCTGAGTCAGGGCCCCAAGGAGCTTCCTTTCAGCTGGCTTGCTTTCCAGTCAGACCTAAGGTCAGAGAGAAGACAGAACTTTTTGTTCTTTGAACTAAAAGGTAATATTTTCTCCTTTCCTTTTTGCTTTCTGTAATTGCTATAAAGACCCTTCCACCCAGCAGGAAAGTTTTCTGCCCCTGCAGACCTGACACTTGACTGAAGGTCACCCTGAAAGTAAGCAGCAATCTACAGCAGAATTTCATGGGGTTGAGCTGAAGCAGACTGCCAGCGTCAGCTTCTCCAAAGCCTGCCAGGAAACCACTGGGACTCTTGGCAATTTTTTTCTTAGGGAAGGATGAAAAAGACTCAAATCTAGTTTGTGTTGATTTTCTCTGGAAAATCCAATCTTAGTTAATCTGCTCCATTGCCTTTTGTTTCAATCTAATTTTCTGGAAATGTTCCCAATCAAGTCCCAGGAGACTCAAGACCAATGATTTTTTTCATTAACCTTTTTTTTTTCAGCTGAAAGCTGGAATCTCCTAATGCAGAGAATAATAGGGCTAGTTATTGTAAACAAATTAAACTCCTATTTTGCTGCGCTACAAATTAACTTTCTAAAGCCCTTCATTTGTTGGTCCTGAAATTAGACTTTTCTGGTTTAGAAGCCGATCTAGAAGCGGGAGGCTGTGATGAAATACTTTCTTTTTGTCCTTCTCCTCTGTTTCTGCAGTATTTAATGCCATCTTCCCACCATAGCTTTTACATGTCATTTCTTCCCCCTGTCTCACCAGTTCATATCTGCACGGGTCCTGTTGATTTCCAGTGGCGCCTGAACCGCCGCGATTGCTAGCTACAGCAATTGCTGGTGTGGAAAGTATGTTAAAGTTTTCTTTTTGCTCTTTCACTCTGCACATATATGATATTAGAAAATCCCACAGTCATTGTTGTACCACAGATGTGATTGTCATTTGTAATCTGTTTAAAAAGTTGTGCGTACAAGTAATCTGTTCACTCTAATGTTTATCTAAATTAATATAACAGACTGTGGTCGCTCTAGATGATGGGTCAAAATGTTGTGAGTGATTGAGCGTCTTCTGTTCTCCCTGGATGTTCAGCACACCCTGATATCAAGCCTGAGAAGCTGGGAGAACACGAGGAAAAGAATAGAGCTGTTTTGCCAGGAAACTCCCAGCAAGTGCAGCAAGTTCTCTCTTGAGACTTTGTGAGTGCTGCTCCACTTAACCAAGCAGCCTTTTCCCACACATGCTCGTTAGTTATCAAGGATTCAAATCTCATTCCTCTGATGAGTGCACAGCTCATTAGTTATCAAGGATTCAAATCTCCTTCCTCTGATGAAGGCACATGAAGTTGGAATATGAGCTTTGTGATATATTTAGCTGATCTTTTGGCTAGCCTGGCTAAGAGAAATCCTGGCAGTCTTGGCTTTTTTTTAAACACTTAATGTGTCTCTTCGTGGGAGGAGTATGTATGGTAAATACCCTTGCAGGCTTTTTTCATGTTAGAGGTAATTCAATTGGACTTGGATTTGTAGGATTAAAAAGTACTTTCGGTCTACCTCCAAGATGCAGTGGGCTTCCTGACCTTATAAGCCTGCTGGCTACCCTGCTCCTTGTGAGCTTGGAAATGCTGCTGTTTGAAAGGCTCAGCCTGATGGAGAT